GAGATTCTAGGGTCTTAGCTAAGAAAGCCTGTTGTCCTATTCGGCAAAAGGTCCGGACATTAGAAGCTCAAGCATGTAGTTTAGAGCGGTGTTTCATCAGTCCCGAAATAACTTTTCGCGTACTCAAATCATTTACATTGGCAGCGCAAGGTGATAAAAGTATGTGAGCAAGGTTAGTCATGGAGGTAACAGAGTTATTAGGATGCATAGGAAGGATTTGATTTTGAGCGAATCAATTTTTTTTTATGTTGGCGGTATGAGAGCGGATTTTACTTCCCGGTTGCCTACACCATCAAAGGATATTTTTTTAGGAACCTAGAAAAGAAATTGTATTAGCGTTCATCTTAACCATCTGGGTCCGCCGGGCTCGAGGGACAACTGCTTGAGGCCGGTCACGAGCAGCCTTTTATTGAAATTTTATAAAGTGTTAGCTCTGCACTTCAAAAGGTTTTACCGCCGGAGACGGAAATCCGTGAGGTAAGGTGGGGCATGGCATTTGTAGGCTCAACCATTTCTAACCTCTTCCTTCTGTTATGAGAAGGCAGCATTGCTGAAGATTCTAGTTGTCCGAGGCAACCACGTTACTTGTGTTACATCACTTCACAGTCAGCAGTACAACTTTTCCCTCAGACGTTAAGTTGCTGCTTCTAGTCTTACCATTCTCTAATCGACCAGCCTATCGCGGTGGGATCTAAAACAATAAGTGCTCAGTTGGGTCATAGCGATAGGCAAGCCTGACCATTACGTAAAGTTGGCAGCTATCGTTGAGTTTGAATCCAGTAAAATTTGAAAGATTGACAAGTTCTGTTCATTGTTCAGTGTTAGTTTAATAAAATGAACATAAGATAACGGAACTATAGATTGATTGATATTTCCCTTTTATTACTCTTTTCTATTGATTGGCCAAGTAGAATTTGGTTTACATGGTATTTGAATACCTTTAAAAAATTGATTGGACTCACAAATAGTGATACCATGAAATGATGAGAAAATATAAAATCGTGTGATGATAGAGAATATTTGTAGCTTTGTACCATTGCTTTAGGAGGGAAATATAAGAATATTATTATTTTTCTATGTATTCTAAATCATTCACATAGTCGCATTACAGTTTGACGTACAGAATTATGAAAATTGATCTAACAAAAATTCTATCACGATTGTGTGCATTCAATGTATAACTGTATATTTAGTATCATTATGAATAACAGAAACGGCTGAAATTTGGTTAAGGTTATCATTAAAATTTGGTTTAAACAATGATAAAGCCTGGATTAGACAAGTTACTAGTTTATTAAACTATCTACCATGTTCATTGATTATTCAGTTGGCTTCAATGTAATTTTTCGTATTAAGCTATTGGTAACACTGAAATGTAAACTATTAATCTGACCATCACGTTCAGACCAGTATTAGCATAAAAAAACACGATTTAAATTTGAAAAGAGATGAATTTCATAAATGTTATCCAATGTTGGTATATAAGCACACATTTTCGGTGCTACATAATTAGATTCATTGAATAATCAATAAATGCGATCGATAACCACTCACTCGTGTATTTTAAAGGAAGTAAAAGTTTACCTAAATTAAGCAAACACCATCCCCTTATACAAATGTACAATTTATGAATTTCTAGTAAATATTTATTTCATTATGTCTAGTTGGTTAATAAAGAGTTAATTATTGATAAAGTTATTTCATAAGAATCTACAAATATATATATATTTTTTATAGGTACATATGATTTAACTTTTTTAATATTTATCTAGTTCATTTTAGTTTGTTGTGTTCTTTTCGAAAAGTATTGTTCAACAATCACCTGTTAATACGTTAATAAAGCTCACTTTTCCAAAATTCGATAGTGTTGTTTTATCTGTGAAGTTAATCGAATTGAGGTTGAAATAGTACTCTATTAATGTGAATGAATGAGAGTTGTTATTTATCACATATTGATTGGATTCGAAATAGTAAACTACGATAATCAAATTTAATATTGTAACCGTATTTTACAAGCGTCGTATAAATGAGCTATAGTATTGTTTATAAAAATAATAAGTACAAAAGCATACAGTATTAGCATATTGACCAATTTAGAATATGAGAATGAAAAAAACAGGTTTACATTTTGAGAAATCTATTAATGATGCAAAACGTTTTGTGCAAAATTACGGCTCAATACATTTTTCGTAATCCATGTCAAATGTATTATGATCGATGTGTTCATTAGTTGATAACGGTTATAGTTATCTCAAAATTATTTTAATAGTCAGTCACTTTCGAAGTAGGATAATATAACTGTACTTAACCTAGTTTTTGATAACTTTGGGTTTCTCTTTTAAGAAGTTATTTTTGATTTCTTACAAGGACTAATTCTTAATTGAAAAAGTATATCTCACATTGTATTCAGTTGGATAAGAACAGGTTCAGAGGTTCACTTACGAGTCACAATTTCAATAGTTGGCTAATCAAAAAGAAAGTGATATAATGCGGTTTATATCATTCAGTCATTGAGAGAAAACTTATTACCATTTACTAGTTCTGAAGAAAAGATGTAAATTGGTGTTTTAATGAATTTATTTTATATTTTATTTCATTTAGTATTCAAGTTCTCATGGCCTCATACATATTTCGGTTTAATTTTCTAGAGCATAAACTATAACAAGTAAACGTATTTTGATTAACACATGATATATAAAACGAATTCTGAATAGCTTGTTCATTTGAACACTTTAATTCCTAATTCAGTAATTGTGCAGGACATACAGTTTGTCAGATCCAACATTTTTTGAATGAACCCTGTATATCATAAAACTTTTAGTTTAAAAGAAAGATTGTAAGTTAAAACAAGAAAATTAAATAAATGATTCAAATATCAATAAGTTGTCACTTTTGTTATCGAAGTCCAGTAAAGCTTTTTATGTGTATACAAGAGTTGATTGATAAAAAAGAATCATGGTAATGATAATTATATACACATGATAGTTTAATAATATGAATTGAAACAGCTTTTTATATTGATGATCTGTTGAAGATTTATAGGACAGCTGATTGTTTTAAAGCACATGCTATTTTTTTGTGCATCAATGTTTTTGAAGTTTCAGTTATTTTGGTTGTCTACTGAATACTAATAAGAATAATAACTCGAATAACTTATTCTAGACAATAACATTGAAAGAAATTTCATTCTCTACTGTTATGCTTTCATTAAGCCAGATGTTGTAATTTTAGAGTATTTACAACTTAAACAGTGAATAAATCTAAAAAATAACTTAAAACTTTAGTTTAGTTTAGTTCACATCTACACCTGGTTTATTAATAAAAATAAGAATAAATAAATTCCCATATGATAACAAGAATACTTTAGTTCCTTTTTTTTAATCGAAATTAGAAAGATTTATTTTGATAATTTTTAATTTTATTATTAAAATTTAAAAACATTAGCAATTTAACTCTATGCAGGAAATATTCATGTGAATTTCATGCTTGATATTATTTTACTGAAATATACGAGTTATTCATTACAAATAGTATGAAACTGAAACTGAAAGTTTATCAGTCAATTGAACATTAACAGATTTTAAAATTATTATGTAACGATTGCTTCAATGAAATGAAGGCTGAGATAAATGACATGTATTTTGATATATTGATATAATTTACAACTATTTCGTCAAAGTACTTGATTTATAAAACATTTTAGCTATCTACAACACCGCCCACTCACTAATAATATCATTTCATTAATTAATGTCATCAGTTAGTTAGAACACATTAATCTAATAGAGGATCACAGCGATAAAAGTGCCCAGATTTCAGTCACTTTTGCAAATAAATTTGTTTCGAGAAGAGGCATCCTTTAAACCAACAAATGGTTTATTAGAGTTTATTGTACATTTTACATTAAGATAATTTTTGAATTGTGCTACTGATCAATCCTTCAAGAATTTGAAATTCTGAAAGAGCGCTAATTTCTTAAACTAATAACAGGGAACAAATAACTTTGGATTTTATTCTGTTCAATCATTTTCCTCATCAATTATTACATTGTTTTTTTTTCTTATTTTAGATTTTAGTACATACAGATTAACTCATATAGGTGAATATATTCCATCAAACAATTGATTCAATCAACTAATTCAAAATATTATCAAAATTTTTCTGATTGAAATTTACTTATCTTCTCTCTAAAATTAATAATGTCTCTTGTTAACGTTTTTGGATGTTTAAAATAATAAATCAATCACATAAACGCATACATATACAGACAATCATACAATAGTTCATTGCTATTTACCTTTATGTTAATCACTTTCTTACTTTTTCCGGTTCAAATATTTTCGATTATGAATTAAAGAAAACAAGTTCAGATTTCAAATTCGTTTTTTTTCGTTTTCAGTTCAAATCAACCAATTGACTGACATAGAGTTATTTGATTGACTGATTGGTTATACGTGTTAAAGTAACATCCATCGACACAAAAATTGCACTGAACATATTTATACACAATCACAGTATACATATATAGATCATTGATTGGCTGAACAATAAATGGTATACAGCAAGTTATCTATGAAAATAGATATTCACTTCAAAATTTGAAACAGCATTATAATTATACAGTTACTTTATGGATTATTAATTAGCACCAGTATTGTGATTGTTATTATTTCTCGAGAACTACTTCTTCATTGTCTTCTATGAAAAATTAATATTTCTACGCAATATGAACAGGAAATAGGCGTAGTATTGGTTTCACTGAGTTAGAAAACAATACAGATTTTTTTCTTCAAAAATTTTCCTAAAAAGCAATAAAGGAATTAAATGATTATTTTTTAAAAATTATTCACATTGAAACTAGAACAAAAATAATGTTTAATGTGTTTAAACTGATGAATATCAGTTGCGTCTAAACTTCATTTTCTTTGAATATTAACAATCCTATTTGACTACGAATATAAGAAATCAAATAATTGAAGTTTAATCATATAAAATTGACAATGGAAGAGGAGTTAACCAAAAGTAATTCACAAGTGAACAGTAATACAAATAATGAAGTGAACAACAATACTACGACTGCTACTACTACTACTAATAATAATATGTCGAAGTGTTTCGGAAGAAATTTAGCTATTGCTGATGAATGGATTCAAGCAACCGAAGCAAGATATGACTCAATGGAAAATTTATTACAGTCAGTACGTCATGATATAGATGTATTAACAGAACGTTTGAATCAAACAACACCAACCTCACCTGGACTTAATCGATCAACAGCGAAATCGATGATTCGTAGTAAACAAACTGATTCGAACGGGAAACACTCACTCACAACATCGGAAAAATTAAAGCCATCATCTCCTTCATTTCAGTCAGAAACAAGCCAATCTTCATTAGTGTCCCATCAAAAGAATTTATCAGATAACTTAAGATGTATGCCCGAAGAAGAACTATTAAATTTAATGAATGATAGAGAAGAGTTTATGGATATACAGATACGTCAGGTGAAAAATCAGTTTTCCAACTTTACCAATGAGGAATCATTTTATTGTAGTAATAGTCAACAATTCAGCGGTAATCACAAGGATAGTAATCATCCAAATAATATTAATACTAGTATTATTACCGTTAATAATAACCGTAATAATGAAAGTATTGTTGAGGAAGAGAAGTATTTAACAAAAACATGGAGATCACCATCCGATTTTAATTTACATGATCCATTTTATGACAATTCATACGATTTTACAAATGAAAATTATGGTAATAATAATAATAATACCAGTAATTCTAAGCAGCTTAGAACCGTACATTATATTAGAACTAGACAAATGAACAGTAACGATACAATAAACAATGATATTCATAATGATGATGACGATGATGATGATGATGATGATGATGATGATGATGATGACGAAGTTATTGAGTATAATTTCCCTTCTCATGATCATCAATCTATGATAGAAACTGATTTAGACGATTATCGACCAGACAAGCAAGAGAATAGCACCACTGAATCAGAGAACAGTTTATCACCTGCCATATCACCGACATTTGGCAATTTAGGATCAGATGAAATTAAATTGCAAAATATGATTATATCAAATAATGATACAATTACATTTCCAATAGAGAACAAATATTCAACTGATAATAACAATGATTTGAATGATAAAAAGTTAAACAGTGAAGAATTTAAAGTCTACGATAATGGATATTCACTAACAACAATTGATGAAGCTTCAGAAGAGAATGATGAAGATGATTGGTCATCTTATGAACATGAGATTCCGATCAATAATAATAACAACAATAACAGTACCGAAAAATCCATGGAAGAAGATGATAGAATTTTGCAATCTTCGTTTGAATATTATAAAAATGATGAATTATCAACGAACCAATCAATAAACCAGGAGTTTAAACCATCAAGCATCAATAATGATAGTACTGCTGATCAACAACTAAAAGATAATGTTGATAATAATACTTTAAACCAGCAACTACAACAATCTGAGATGATTAAACATAGTAGTGAAAACAATAATAGTAATACTAATTCCTTCGTAAATAATGAAAAATATGTAAGTGAGTATAGTTCACAATCACCTAATATTGTTCTGTTACGACCTAAAAGAGTGGATAATTCATGCGTAACTGTAAGTCACCTTAAATCACGACCCGTTTCAGCTGAAATTCGTAATAATAACAATAATAGCAACAATAGAAAATTAGAAAAATCACATTCTGGTTCTTTAAGTTCCATGTTGTCAACAGTAAGTCAAGAAGGTATTATTAGTGAAGCCGATTCCTATGTGACTGTATGCAGTCATTTAGTTGGTACAGGCAGTGAAGAAGCTTATATAACAGCGCAAAGTGATTCAGATGCATTTAATGAACAAACATTATATACAAATTCACAAACAGATGAAGAAAATGATTATCAAACATTATCACGTAAAAAAGCCAAGACATTAACTTGTCGTAGTCAAAAACGTAAATGTACTATCGATGAAGATTTAGGCAGTCAGACAGCATCTGATTCAGAAAATGATGATGAAGCTATCTTAGATTCAACATTAACCACATCGACAGCAGTAACAGTCACACCGAAATTTACTAAATTACCATCAAAATTAATTGCATCATCTGAAAATACTGTTGAATTAAAACAAAATGATATTGAACCATTTTATGCCAATACTTTAAACAGTATGGATGGTAATAATAATGATCATTTATGTAAAATACAGAAAAATGAAGAATTATCAAAAAATGTTAAAGGTTAGTTTAATTTTAATGAGTATGGATTTTTAGTTTGGTAAATACTATTTATGTTTCCTAGAATACATATTTGTATTGCATTTCGGTAAGCTTTTCATGAAAAATTTATCAGATATGTTGCAAAGACTTACAATTTTTCGAATGTCTCAGAAATATTTACAATCGAAAACATGTTTAGACTACTCGATATACGCTCTTAAATAGTTCGTATAAAATGGATATTGTGACACAATTGTACTTCAAATCACGGCAAACTAATTTCTTCAGCAGTTTTGAACAAAGAGTGTTTGCTGATTACTAGTTACTATCGCCGGTTATGTGTTTTAACAAATATTAGCAACATACAGAAACTGAATAATGAACAGGAAGGCATCTTACACAGCATTAGGTACTTAACATAAATAGGAAAGTCTTTTGGGTTTTTCGTACTATCATTTGTAGGAGCCAACTTCATTCATAACGTTATATGTAACCTCGCTAGTTTCATTTTGACAAACAATAAAATTTGTCTTAGAAATTATGCACAAGTTTTTAAAAACTGTACTTACTTTCAATTTTTTCTAAAGACACTATCTATGTATTTGAAGTAAAATACTTTTTAAACGTTGTGTGTGACCAGGTTTAGGTAGTAACTTCAGAAATTTTCTTATCGTATCCATTTATGACTAGATTTTTTCTTTTAGTTGCCGACAATCACATTAAAACAAAAAAAAAGTGTAAATACACGAAGACTGATAAACTTAAAAGTGCATAAAATATTCTATTATAGATGATTGTTTTTCTTAAAAATTGTTCGATATAATTCCCAATATTAACTAAAAAATGACATTTGTATTATTCAATAATCAGTCTGTAAGAGAATATATGCTCTTTGAACTAGTATTTCAATCACTAACTATTTTTTCCATTTAAAATATTTATTGATTTTAATCGATTTGGTTTAAAGTCAACATCAACTCTAATAATCAATTAACCACAACTTGATTAAATGAATAAATCAATTGTCAATTCACCTTTTGTTTATTTTAAATATTTGATACTAGTATTAAGAGTTTCTATAAATTCAATTAAATACTGTGTGATTAAGGTTGAATTTTTAGAAAATGATGAATTAAATAATTAGCAGTTTTGTTTAATCCTTTGAAATTTTCTGTAAACAAAGTGTATTTAAAAATTGATCAAGTAACTAGCGCACAACATTGATTTTTTTTATCAGTTGAAAAGATTAGTGAATTAAGTTCACTGTAAAAACTAAATATCATCGACTAAATACAGTTAAAAAATTCAGCTAGTAGATAGATTTTTGTTTCAGTTTTCATTTTTTTTTAAGTTGAATCACTAAAACTACTTGACTAGAAAAATTTCTTACGTGCTGCGCGTGTTGGAATTATTAATAAAAACCACACCACCAACTTTTAGGTGACTTCGAATTATGTAATTTTGTTATTTATGTATTTAATTTATTTAAACATACAATTATTGGTACAAAGGCGAACCTTAGAAATTATGTACCACACAGGTTATTGAATTGGCGATTGGGCTAGAATATCGCCCTGGTTTCCAGATTGAAGGTTTTCTTAGGGAGCCACTCCACGAGCAAGAGGTCTTATCCTCAAGGTAGTGGAGCAATGTTAGGAGATACCATCACATGGTAGTCGGCGACCAATAATGGGTTCATACGCCATTTGTCTCCTCAGGATTCTGAAGTCCATGTACTCCATCGGTTTTTCAACTCCTTTTAGCAGATTCTTCGTTTCTACCAACTCTCTTTAAGCACCAGACATTCGTAAACAACACCTTTACCACGAGAAATCAGTCAGTAGACCGAAAGCAGTGGCTATACATGCGTGGCCATGTGAGAGCATACCGAGAGGCAAAGAAAACCCTGCTTACTCTTCGCCTTACCAGGGGGTATTTGTGAGCACTTTTATTATTGATCAATAAAACTGATAGTGAATAGATGAACTCTGTATATTGACAAACATGGAGTAATAGTAAATTATGGTAAAATAGTGTTACACTCTATGGCTACAACATCTGGTAGCTCATAATTAACGTGGACTAACAATCGGTGTAGCTTGGTGGTAACATTCGCAAACTGGAAGGATAAAAAATAATATGGTATAATTATTGTAGGGGATTTTCGAAAATTGTATAGTTTCGAAACTCCTCATCAGTGCTCATCAGCAACTTCACTCACGGAAATCAAACTCAGGACCTTAACTCTCGAGCACTCATTGGTCTAGAGTCTGACCATTCGTGCACAAATTTGATTCAAAAAAATTGAATGATCCAGTAGGGTATGTTACTTTTTATATACAGTTTTATTCTTATTTCGGTGGTTTTAAAGATAAAATCTTACATTCACAGTGTGTCCTAAAAATAATTACTCATTGAGCTTATAAACTACTATCATTCGTTTGATAGAATAAATTATTAGGTAACAAAGGTCATTTATTTCTGTCTGACAAAATTTCAGTGTGGTTTCATAAAGTTCAGTTGGCTTTACTAATTTACAACACTTTTGGTGAATGCAAGATGTTCTTCTACCAACTAGCAACTGAGTATACTTCGTGACATTGTGGTTTGTCATATTTGATGTCTGTAACACGTCACCAATAAGAATAGAGGATATCCATAAGTTACTAGGATTTGATTATACGTCATTTGCAGCATGGCTCATATATATTGAGACAATCAAGTGAGTAATGTTGAGGTTAAGCCTAGGTTAAAAGGTAAATGTAGAAAATCAGTTGGTAAGGTGGTGAGTTTACATCGACTGAAGTGGTTAGGACGTGTACTGTGTATCTCCAACCATAGCTAACCGGACAACAATATTTTAGAATAGAATGTTTTTGTATACGTTTTTCAATTTAGAAGTTTCTATGAGTGATTATTTTTGCAGTTCTTTTTGACAAAAGACATTCAAAAAATACAGAATAAAACTAGTATGTTTATAGTCAAGACCTCAACAATTGTCTGATTTTTATGCTCTGAAGTTTAAATCGATGTTATAGAACACCGAAAATGAGTATTTACATAACTAAATAAGTGAATGTTGCATCATCAACACCTTTCAAGGCGCAAAATATGAATCATTTACTTGAAATCAAATGTGATTAGATGACATAAAATTATTTAGCCAATTTGTCGTTCTTATTAGCATTAATTGACGTAATTACGTGAAATTGATTAGAAGAAAATATTTTTTTTAAAATAATCATAGAACTTTGTTTATTATCAGTTTAATTTAGTATACATTGTCCATAATATTTGTAAGCATACAAATTTTTGCAACAAGTTCAAAATAAGTGACATTCTTTTCATCTATTATAGATATGTTTATCCATTGAAAAGAGATTAACATCGTGAGAGAGAGAGAGAGAGATAAGATAGTTATTTATTCCACAATTCACTTTTCATTATGAACTCTTCATATGCGTATAGGGTTATGCAATAAGCATAAAATGATTGCCAGACAAGTGGCTAATATGTTAGATAATAACAATTTAGCTGTAATACTCTTTCTTGTATTCTTAGATACCTGTTAATAATTATTCAACTTTTCAATTTTATTTATTCTCCACATTATTGACAAAATTTTATGTATTATTAGACACTAAATGGTTCAGAAAGAAGCTTTTTTTATCCATTAATATCCTGAGACCAGTTCAATATACAAAATAATGATTTTCAAATTACCTCAAATTTTGTTTGATCGTCATACTTATTTGATGTAAGATTGAATGAACCACTTACAAATGATCACTTGTTCTTAAGATACATAACTGATCATTGCTATCAAAAACAATTAAATAAAAGCTTAGTGAAATTCAACGACTTAATTAAACGAGATAATAGATGTGGTGAATATTACAAATATTTATTGAGGTTTGGTAAGTCTAAGGAGTGGAATTCCGAATCAGATTCTGATTCGATTGTGAACATAATTGATTAGTGCCAGTTAGTAAACTTCTCCAGGATGTAACTCATATTGATATTTTTGTCACTATAACGAACGTATAATCTATGTATCTCCTATTTAGATAGAAGCTATCAACTGTTGGTCTAAATTTAGTGTTTTTAAGATAGGCCATGAAACAATGGCTAAATGGTGACGCCATCACTATGCCGTCAGTTTGTCTATAGAACTCATTGTTAAGTTTGTATGATTTTTAAATTATTGATCCCAATTCGTGCCAATTATTTTTGAACGAATAATTAGCCATTATTACAAATGTTTACTCTACTTTTGAAGATAAATTATTCAGTATCAAATCTTATGTTGATAAAATCAGAATGTGATTATTACTTATGAAGTTATTGATTATTTATTTTTGTGAACTGATCAATACCCGATGATATTATCTTTAAAACAGTTAAGTAGCGTGAAAGTTAGCGATTGCGGCCTCATTATAGTTTAGGAACATTCCGTATTTACCACTAACAGTCGAACACCGTATCGAACTCTGAAATGTTTAAATATTGTGACAAAATTATTAACTTTAAGCCAGTACTCAATAATCCGAAGGCTTCAACTTTTGACCTCAGTTAATTTGTGATAGAAAACAAGTCACATTGAGTTTTGCTCATAATTTACTACCTCACTGTGTTGGTCGGGTACAGTGTTCATATTTTTTTAATGATAATTTAAGAACGTTAATATCAAAAATTAACAACTAATCAGACAAAAACTCTTGTTCAGTAAGTTCGTTTAACACAGGCTGTCATCTTCAAGTGACATTATTTGCTACAATAAACAAATGGTTTACCATTTAGCAGGGATTTCTTTCATACAAGTCAAATCTTCTATGATGATTATGTGTTCCTAAATGTACTAGATATGGTTTTTGCAACTAACCCATAATATAATAATAGTCTATGCAAAACACTGAATGATATGACCGAGTTAATCTCTTTGAATAATAAATTTCGACATACTAAGGAATAAATCAATCTTAGCTGGGTGTAGGCAGTAACTACCGAAGACAAATGGGTGA